TGCCTGGGCAAATGAAAGCTTTTGGTTCGTCAAGGTTGGATAGTGAATAATCCTGGAGCTTGGCAAAGTGTATAGAATGCGACGGTGGGGTTTGGTAAAGTGTAAACAACCAACGCTAGACCAAATAATCTGCCAACGTCATGCTCGACCATTGCTCCATCTTCCACAAAGGTACGGCGATAATGCATTTGACTTTGTAGAATGCTGATGTATGCTGTGACTCGTATGATGTAATATAGGCGGGATTGTCCTCTGGTCACGGTCGTTCACCCCTGCAGCAGCTAGCTTGGGTACCTCTGCTGCATCCCCTGTGAACAGCCTAGTGCGAGAGGCGCTCATAGAAGGAAGGAATACGGATAACAGCTATGAGAAGGATGGATACTCGATCAAGTGGACGTTTGTGAACGATTTGGAGCTCATCTTTGTGGTGCGCCCAAATTCTTCGGAGCATCGTTTTGTTCCTGAGACTCATGCTTTGACTCTCATTATGTTCAATAGGTTGCATATCAACGCATTCTCCAACTTACATATGCCGAAGACCTTCTTGCTGCTATCAAGAGTGTCTTCCTTACTCTCTATGAGCCGTTCCTGAGCAGCTTTGTGGCCTCCCTTCACGGAACCTCTATCTCCTTGAATCTCAACATCAATGAGAAGAGCCTCATCGGTCCCGACGGATCATGGGACTTCTCATCTGTCCTTTCTGGATGGGATCGAGCATTCGACAAGCTGCTCAAATCTATCGAGGACAAGGTCGCCCAAGACCGAAAGAGTCGTCTCCGAGGAGCAGGTGTGAACCTTCAGTCAAAGGCAGCTTTGCCTTCGTCCGAACCTGCTTCGGCCGATGAGAGCGGTACAAGTACGTCTGATCCTGCCCATCTGACTTTGTGCACGTCTCCTAATTGCGTACTACCGTTACTAGCCCCTTCCATGGACGTAGAGTCTGGCCATGATCCGAACGAGATAGCCCGTAACGTTGAGGCTTTGAAGAATCGTCTCAAGAATACTCCCGGAAGCCCCAGCCGCGGTGGTCGTCGTCGCCCAGCGCGATCTCGCACCGCAAAGGATAGTCCAAGTGCGACAGAGTGCGTGTTTTCAATCCCCCAAGCAGCGTTTTATTGACGGATATGTGGTATACGATCTCTCTCCCATAGCTCGGACACTCCACAGCCATCCAAGAAGCCCAAGCCGAAGAAGGTCATGCGAACGTGGGATGGGTCTGTCGCGATGGACAGTGATGATGCTGCCAGCCTCGACTACAGCACTCCAATGGGTGCCGAGACCATGACTTCCTCCGTCGACCTTTCGCAGCTTGTCGACGAATCCTCGCGAGGCGTTCGCGGTAAGGATGGCCTATACGACTTGAAAGATCTCGATATGGGCGCTGCAGCAGGTGGAGATGATGACGATGATGAACGCGCCGAAGAGGACGACATCATCGCCCGAGCGATCAGCGGAATCTCCCTTGGCCGAAACTCCTCTGCATCAAAAGGGGAAGATGTTGCGCCTTCCACTTCTCGTTTCGGGTCGTTGTCGTCTCTGTTCTCCAAGGTCACTGGCGGCTCGCGCACCTTGACTAAAGAAGACCTCGAGCCAGTTCTAGCTGGTATGCAAGAACATCTCATGCAGAAGAACGTAGCTCAAGAGATCGCTGTGAAGGTCTGCGAGGGCATTGGAGAAGCCCTTGTGGGAAAGCGCGTCAGCGGATATCGGGGTATGTTCAACTGCACTCAAATCTCTTCTTACAGTCTGTGCTGACAATGTTCCAATATTAGGTGTCAAGAACGCTGTCCGCGAAGCTGTTTCTGACTCCATCACTCGAATCCTCACTCCTAAAACCAGCACAGACCTCCTGCTCTCCATTCGTCAGAAGCTCAATATTTCCAGTTCGGGCGCAACCTCATCTGTAGCTGCGTCTACGAAGCGAACCCCATACATCATGACGTTTGTCGGCGTCAACGGTGTCGGAAAGTCCACCAACCTCAGCAAAGTTTGCTTCTGGTTGCTCCAGAACGATTTCCGTGTGCTCATTGCTGCATGCGACACGTTCCGAAGTGGAGCCGTGGAGCAACTGAGAGTCCATGTCAGGAATTTGGGCATGTTGACGGTCGGTGACCGCAAAGGCAATGAGTCCATCGAGCTTTATGAGAAAGGTTATGGCAAAGATGCCGCTGGGATTGCCAAGGAGGCCATTGCGTACGGTAAGCATTCAAGAGCCGCATTCCTTTATATACCAATCTGATTGTACGAACCTGTGCAGCCAAGGACAATGCATTCGACGTCGTGCTTATCGACACTGCTGGCCGTATGCAAGATAACGAGCCTCTTATGCGAGCTCTCGCCAAGGTTGGACTTAGCCTCCTTCTCTTTTGTGTTAGGTGTACTGACCAAATGGTCTACTTATCAGCTCGTCTCCACGAATAATCCTGACAAAGTGATCTTCGTTGGTGAGGCCCTTGTGGGCAATGAAGCCGTTGATCAGTTGTCGAAATTTGACAGTGCCTTGAAGAACTTCTCGGCTGCATCAGGTGTTGCTGCTGGAAGGGGTCGTGGTATCGATGGTATGCTGGTCACCAAGTGGGACACTGTCGATGATAAGGTACGAGGCATCCTACACTTTTCATAGAATTTACCTCACGAGCCAGTCCTCTTTTCCTTCTGTTATAGGTTGGTGCTGCGCTGAGCATGACATACGTCACTGGTCAACCTATCTTGTTCGTTGGGTGCGGTCAGGTTCGTGCACTTTCCATCACTTTCTTCTCGATCACACTAGCTGACCAACCGATATATAGACCTATACTGATCTCAGGCAGCTTCGTGTCAAGAATGTCGTCGATTCTCTCCTCTCTGATTAAGTCATCTCAATGTATCTACCTTGATACTCTCAACTTGGAAATACGCCAATGCGGCAACTTGCAATCTTTGGTAGCCATACAACTACCGACTTTCAGATCCTCAGTGGTGCTGTTTGCATCCACCCTAGTTATCGCCCAATCACAGTTCGCACGTAATCTCCAACAATCAGAGGTGGCACATAAACAAAGAACAAAAATGACTGGTACAGGACAGAGATCACGCCGGGATGTACAGTAAGCCTACTCCAAAATCTCGCCAACATCGCCATAAGGTTTCCCGCGGAAGTAGCTCTCATCGAAGTGGTGAACACGAACAAACCCATCCTCACCTCCTGAAGCGTACGATCGCCCTGACGGGTGCACAGCAATCCTAATTAGTGCGGGCAAGGATCAGTTTGTGGTGCTCCAGCCATGACAAGCAAAATGCAGCAGATAAGGGAACGCACGTGTTGATCGGGCCGAAGTGACCCTTGACGCGTCCAACTTCCTCTTCGAAGAGCTTGTGCCAGAAACGCGTTTCGAACTTGCCCTGCCTGAGCGACGTCGTCGTCACGCTCATGGCATCTTGACCACCACCAACGAGGACCTAGTCGATGTGAATAGACAATTGGTCAGTAACATATTGGTGGGGTGTTTCGAACAGGCAAACGCACATAAGGCTTTAAGGTTGCTATTGATGCGCTGTTGAGGGGGGTTTCAGTGGGATAGGTCTTGAGAGTTTTGAGGGTGGAAGTAACATGGAGCTATTGACAAAAATAGTCGGTGATACTATCAAGGCTGGATTGACAGATCGGACAGACCTTGGCAGTCTTGTCTTTGCTGGCAGTAATGAAGTAGCTCCTATCGGGGCTCATCTGCATATCGTTGATCGTGTCTGTGTGCACCTTGGCACTCTCCAGCTCCTCAGCTGCCAGATCGGTGTACTCATCATCCGTCAACATCGTATCCCAAAGGACAATCCTCCCATCCTCGTGCCCACTCACGACGCACTCGCCCTCTTCCGCGAACGCAACGACAGTTGGCTTGGCACCATGTGGCACCCATTCACGCACGGGGGTCTTGGACTGGGATGTTGGAGACTCGCGGTTGAGCTCGAAAATGCGGATGAAGGAGCTGTGCCCCATGCGAGCTTCGGTGGTGCAGACGAGGTGGGATGATGAAGCGTTGAAAGCGACACGCTTGACGGCAGTGGGGAACTCCCAGATGTAGAGACATTTGCCGGTCTGGACCTCCCATAGGCGCATCGTGTTGTCTGCAGCACCAGTGATGAGGAATTTGGACTCGACTGGTAGTTTGACGACGAAGACCGGGGCCGGAAGAGATAGCAGGAGGCGAGGAGGGTCGAGTGGATAGATGTCGAAGCACGTTCATGATATCGGCGAGAGAATTGGTAAGGAGGTTGACCAGGTAGCAAAGCCCCAGACACGATCGGAGGCGTAGGAGCAGCGAGATCACCGAAGATGAAGGAGAGATGCAGCGTAGGATAACATATATCGGTGGGGACAGAAAATGAAACGTAAGCGGAGATGTAAGCATGGCTCGCAAAGTGGTTCCACCAATCAACCATGCAAGGAAACATCACGTACTGTCAACATCGCATGTCCATACGGAGCCATTGTGCCCCTCGTATGTACCTAGCCTCTCGCCATTGTGCGAGTACCACACATTGACGACAGAGTCTTTTGAGCAGGTGAAGAGCAGATCGCCCTCCTTGTTATACTTGATTTGGGTCAGCGACCGCTGATGACCTGAAGACAAGTGATGCCGAAGAGGTATTCATATTGATATAAACGTCGCAGATAGATTCCATGAGGGGAGAGGGCAGGTCCAGGGTAAAGGATAGTCAAGCATAGCAAGTCAAAGATGGGGAAGCAAAGTTTTTTCGCCAATGTCAGAGAGAGCCAAGTACCGAGATCGAATCACACAAGCCGAACCTTGTAGTAGAATAGGAATCTAAGAGATATTAGTTAGATACGCAATGTAGGGCAGAATTTAGCTCGACGCACGCACCATCGTAGAGTTTGGCGCTTTCAAGTTGTGACAGTGACCCGAAGTTGGAGGCGCCTGCCGAGCGAACCGTGCTCGAGTCAGTTGATCACAGCATTTTAGCAGGATGTAGTCCTTTTTGGAGCAGCTCAGACATGTGAGACAATAGTGGTCCAATGGTTAGGATTCTTGCCTTCCAAGCAAGAGGCCCGTGTTCGATTCACGGCTATTGTACATTCTTTTTTGGGGGGTTTTTTTTTTCTTCTCCTCTCCCTCACTCTACCTTGCGTGAAGCCGACCCCTACTTTTCATCTTAATTCCTTAATATCAATTGTGTATGGGGCGTCACCGCTAATAGGACTAATTCATAGATGGAGCAGCGATCGTCTACAGCATCCTGAGCACCAACGGCCCTACTGAGGTGGTGGGTTGATCTTGTTCTCCACGCCAATCAGCGCACAAAACGCCTCTGTCTGAGGGTTCGTGAACCATGACACTGAGAATTGGGGTTATTCGTCATTAGCAGACGCATTATGCCAGTCAAAGGAGGAGCAGAGCACTCACAAGGCATCTGCGGCCCTCGTCCTGGACCGCGCTGAGGCACAGGCCCAGGCGCAGTCATCACAAACTGCTGCACATCCAGCACCTTGATCTTCCCCTCTCCATTATCGGCAGCCAAAGCTGGGACATTTGCTATGATCCACGCTCTAGCCTCGCTCACTTTCTCCTTCATCTCTTGCTCTGACGGGAGGGGTATCTCATCGCGCTGCGTGCTGAGATAAGGGTGCAGCGCACGGGAGATAGCCAGCCATTCGAGATCGTATGTCAGTTCGGGGAGGGTACGTGGTGGTAATTGTTGCTGCTGTTGCTGCTGAGGGGGACGAGGTGGAAGGTGAGATGGTGTTGATGATGACGATGCCGTCGGAGGAGGGGCATCACGGCGTTTTGGTGGGCCACCAAAGGATGTAGGTAAGTCTGCCGCTAGGAGGGCAGCATTGATTTCGTCCTCCTCTATGTTATCCTCCGTGTTGGGTTCTTCAGCAGCCGGGGTGGTGGTTTCTGGGGCTGGTGTAGCAGCCGGAGGTTCGGTGCTTGATATCGGTGTAGCGCTTGTGGCGGAAGGGTCAGAGGAAGATGATGGTTCTGGTTGAGGCGTAGTGGGATCATAAGCTGTCGGGACGTCGACGATCTCAAGATACTGTCTTCCCCGAACGCACTTATCCAGCGCGAGGAACAAGGTCTCCGTCGCACCAGCTGGAGCCACTTCAGTATCGGTAGCAGTTTGGGGCGGCGGAGCCTCAGCGGCAGGGGCAGGGTCATCAAACTCGTCAAAATCATCAATCGCTATCTCATCAGGATTGGTGCCCGCCACCGGAAGAGCAGACCCATCAGCCTGGGATGCTGAATGAGAGACCGTCGCTTCAAACTTGACGTGGAGATGTGCCGAGAACCATCTTTTCGGCCGTAATTTTCTGAGGAGCTGCATCATGGGCGGGGATCCTAGCTCGCCCTTCTCGATGTCCGAGGCGAAGAACGATTTGGCTTTTAGGAGTTTCTGGAGATCGCCGTGGTGCTCGATGCCTTGAGGCCAGTCGTGGGACATGATGATATCAGGGGGAGATAGCTGTCGTAGATCATGATATTAGCTGAGGGCTAAGCAAGCAGAGATGTGGACGTACTTGGGTTAGTTTCGTGACATCGTAGTGCCGGACGTGGTATATGCTACGAACAGCACCGCTGTGATAGGGAACGCGTTCCGAGTAACCTGTCATCAACCTTTGGGATGAGTACATGAACAATCATCTGGACCAAAGGAACTGGCACACCCCAGCGATAGTGAGCTTGGTTGTAGATGCCAGATGCACCAGCGATGCGAACTCCATTAACATTGACGCATCCTGAGAAACCGAGGAAGTAGATGTTCGGAGCCAACCACCCTCCGTGATAGCTACGTGAAGAGTGTGCTTCAGCTTCGTAAAGGCAACACCCAAGAGGGAGGCGACTCACAGTTCCCACATATAGTTGCTCGCCTCATGATTCCCTCCAATGACGATTGTCAAGATAGGTGCGACACTCGCGCCCGTGTAATACCTATGCCGATGTCCACATCAGCATATGCTAGCTGCTAGAATAGAAGATGCCAAACTTGTGGAACTCGCCCAAACGACGATACTTCTCCGGGACCGCCATGCACAAGAGATCGGCTTGATTACGGATGGCTTGGAAGTCTCCTCCTATGAGCAGTAAATCCACCTGTTGGCCATTTCGCTGCTCCCACTGCTGAATCGAACGGTAGGTCGCATCTAGTTCTCCATGGCAGCATCCTTCCACAGCAATCTGTCAGGTGTTGTGAGGTTTTTGTGTGTCGGGGAGAGCACGAACGACAGAACAGACCTTCATCTCACGACGATGCTAACCGGTTGTAGTTTAAGAAATCAAGACCAGGGCGACGACAGGCAAGGCAGCCACTAGTTTGGTCCTCGACTGCAACACTGCCAAACACTCGATCGCTCGTGCATTTAGTCGCCATGGTCAAAAATATTGTGGTCCTCATCTCAGGCTCTGGTCAGCATCCATCCTCTTCGTCTATCAAGGCCAAAATGATCTCCGGATTCTAAACTTCCTCATCGATCTCCGTCACCCTCTTTATTCCCATACAAAACTCCATCTGCCTGCGATCCATGAACAGGGTCCAACCTCCAAGCCCTCATCGACGCATGCACCTCGTCCAAAATCCCCAACGCACGCATCATCCGCGTCTTCTCCAACCGCAAAGCCGCATACGGCCTCACGCGCGCATCATCCGCCTCGCCTCCCATCCCCACTGACATCCTCGCCCTACAACCCTACCTCAAAGCCAACCCTGGCAAATCGCGCGAGGACTACGACGTCGAAGTCGCACGGCGCATCTTGAGCGCCACGGCCGAACGCAACGAGCGCATCGACATTGCGGTGCTGGCTGGGTGGATGCATGTGCTTAGCGAGGCATTTTTGGATGTCCTGAGTGGGCAGACACCGTATGATGGAGAGCATAAAGTCGAGTCTTCCATTCCAATTCTGAATTTACACCCAGCGCTACCTGGTGCATTCGATGGCGCAAATGCTATCCCGCGCGCACTGGAAGCGTTCCAAAAGGGAGAGGTCAAGCATACAGGCGTCATGGTGCATAAAGTCATCAAGGAAGTCGATCGCGGGGAACCAGTACTCGTCCGAGAAGTGGAGATATTACCAGAAGACGATCTGGCAGCTCTAGAAACGAGAATTCACGCAGTGGAACATGAAATCATTGTAGAGGCCGTAGCTAAAATATTAGCAGAGTCGTCGTAGCTAGTCCTACGCATGAGCAAAGAAAGATAAAACGAATAAATTTGTACTTTTTGAACGTCCTACTCATCATCCCCAATGAGCCAACCCATCCCTCTTGACAGCGCATGCCTCGCCGACGCCCCCACATCAGGCGTCAGACTCCTCGCGATCCCATTAAGAGCGACATCTGGACTCCCTCGTCCATTCACATGGGCACCATTAGTCTCTCCACCCCGTTCACTGCCCGACCGACTCCAGCTCCTCTCTCTCCCAGCATTACTTCCACTCCCACCAGTCCCACCAACGCCCCCGAACGGCCAATTCGCCGTGACGCGCGAAAACGTCTGTTTCGCGAGCGCAGCAGCATCTGCTCCTTGGTGTAGCAAATGCTCTCTTCTCGACCCAGCAGGGACATAGTCTGACAAGTTCAAGCTTGGCGTGCCTGACGCAGCAGCGTTGAACAATGATGATCTCCCTGAGTGCGAACTACGCATGCTCCCATTCCCATTGGTAGCCTTCTTGCCGTTCGTCGCAGCAGAGGCGGCGCGTGCAGCACGAAGTGCTTTGCCAGCCTCCAGGTCCTCGTTCTCAACGCGTCGCCATACAGCGAGGATGTCGAGCGTGTTCTCAGGTGGGCACAGTCGGAGTGCATGGCCAAGGAGCCTGAGCTTGCGCTTCGTGTCATGGAACTCAGACTGGCGCCCGAGCTGGAAGCACGCACGCCATGCCACCTCGACCGCCTCAGCAAGATGAGAATACGAGTCTGAGCCAGCCGTGGACGATGAGGCAGAGATCGTGGAAGACGTTGTCGAGAGCGCGGATGATGCTGCAGCAGTGGATGTCGATCCCAAAGGCTTCACATCCCCCAACAGTCCTACCATCTTCTCCACCATATCCGCCGCGCGCTCAAAGTCCTCACTCTGTAGTGCCGAGTCCGACATCATCGCCCATGTCTTCACCTCCGCGACCCTCTCGACTCCATCCCCAGCTGCCGCCCTATACCCAAGCTTGCGCACCAGCTCAAGGACAATCTCAGGGTATTTGTAGGCATCCTCACTCTCGCCGAGCACCCTAGCTACGAGTGTCAACCTGTCCTTGACAAGCCTGATCTCGAGTGGAGTGATGGTGCTACCTGGAGCGGACTGGGACTGGACATTGAATGAGGCAATGCGTGATGTGGCTTCGATAAACTCGCGCTCTGCAAGAACAGCCAAGGATGAAGGAGGGACGGTAAGGCTGAGAGTATGGTAATAGGGAGATGACGTCGAACACGGGGAAGGTGCAACATATAGCAATGTGAGTCATTTCATCTCAGAAAGACTTAACATAAATGAGGGTACGCACCAGTCATACGCTAACTTCATGTCTCCAACATGAAGGTTTCCTGAGCTTGCGTTATCGTAGAACTCTCTTGACGCAGTGAGGCATAGCTCCTCAATAGACTTGGAGGCAAGTTTGCGCACGCTCGAGTTGCCAAGGAACTTCTTCGCAGCATCGAATTCTGCAAGAGATACAGAGCAAGCGAAGCCATCAGCCAAAAGAGCCTAAGGACGAATAAATGATTGCACTTACTACCACTGCTTAGAAGTCCACTGAAGAAGACTTTCGTCACCTCCACCCTACCAAGCATCCTGAATGCACCCTTGGCACTCGCACTCTCCATCTCAGGAGCAGTCCACGTCCCGCTCCCACTAGCACCCGCGCCTACAAGGCGAAGCATATCATTCAACAGCTCCGTGCACCTCGCCACCTCATCCACAGCACCAGCCTTCCCTCTCGCCCCACCACCAGCCCCTCGTACAGACAACTCCGCTTCAGCAGCGACCTTCGCCACGCCTCGCCGCGCCATACGCACCGCCCAACTCCTCTGCTCTCGTGCATCTCCTGCGCTCTGCAGGAACCACGCGAGCGGCGCAGGGACGCCCCAC